CAGCCTCCCTCAGCAGGTCATCATGCAGGATGACCAATGCCGTTTCTGTACCACAGCGAGGCTTGAAGTCCAACTGGAACAGATCCAGGGCATGTGTTGCATCCAAAAGAGCCTGAAGCTGATCAGCCACCACCATCTCATCCACTTTGCTGATGAAAGAAACTTTGGCGACGGGCCTATAATTGCCAATTTCATCTGCCGCCAAATTAAGTTTCTTCGTTATGGGCCTAATGAGTTTCTCCTTGATGGCATGAGGAACCCTGCCCTCAAGGAAAGACCCATTAATTATTGCTGTGGCCTATTTGGTTGTTATCGGCCTGGCTGCTTTGATTAGCCAGGCTGGGCAAGCGTCAAGGGAGGAGGTGGTGGGCATGACAGTAATCAAGTGCTTTGTCCACATTATCTGGCATCACAGGCTGAAAAAGATCTAGAGTCACCGGGCAAGACGGAGTGCTGGACATCTCTGCTCGACTCACTCTATTTAAAGAAGGAGAGAGCTCCTGGCGGATGGCCTCCACTTTATATTTTAAAAATGCTGCAAATTGGTCCGGTGAAAGACTAGGGGGAGGCCCATCACTCAAACCAATTCCGGATAGATCGCACACTATACGGAACAGATCCGCCTGCTGATTTTAAGCTTCGCTTATCCAGTTAGCGAAGTATGCATGACTAGCAACCTTTACCTTAGTCAGGTAAAGGTTAGTTGCGACCCTGACAGCTATCCAATTATAATCCGTCGGGTTCTTCCTCCACATGCGCTCTAGCCTTCGCCTAAGCTGCTTCATCGCTCGAAGGTCGCGGTTAAACAAGGTAGCAGGCTGAGCTCTGCAATGGAGAGGGCGTTAAGGCACGATCACGTCTATAACCCTGGTGGCGGTGGTAAACCAGCCATCAACCAGAGTCTCGACAGGAGCACCAACTAGGTCAGCCATAACTCCTCTCATGGCATCCTGGAATCCTACAGCATCCAGTAGCCTTCGACGGTGGACCATAGAAATAGGTCCCTGCTCCCTGCAAGGGGGGAGAGCCACTGAGAGGTTACATTTTATTAGATGGTGATCTGACCATGATAAGGGGACTGACATGATGTCACTCACTACCAGACCACACTCACTCCAATTGGTGGAGGGCTGTTGGGTAGGGCCGTTGACATGTTGGGACATGTTCAAGGAAGCCATGGTTTCCAAGAACTCCTGGCCCAGAAGTCTCTGCCTCCACGTGAATGTTGAAATCACCCAAAAACAGCAGCTTCGGGGATCTCAACAACGCCGTGGAGACAAAGTCCACCAGCTCCAGTAGGGAAATGGCTGGTTCGCGGGCAGTGCGGTAACACAGCAAGATCCCAATACCATCCCTGGCCCCAATCGACATGTGGAGGGCCTCTAGACCCGATTTTACCACCAAGGAGCGCCTAGGAACTTCCAAGACCTTTTTATATACAATGGTTACTCCCCCCGCCCCTCCAGTCTACCCTGGTGCTGGACAGCATAACCGGGTGAACAGGCAAGTGTTGGGGGGGACCCCCCTCTCTGCCAATCCATGTTTTGGTTATGCATGCCAGGTCTGCATCCTCCTCCAGGATGAGATCGTAAATCTCCTGGGACTTAGTGGATACAGACCTGGCATTCAACAGCACCAGTTTTAGAGTGGAAGACTGGCTGGTCTACTACCTTGATGCTGACGGTTGATCACAGTCCCAGAACAACGAACATGTTTCAAGCATCTATAGCATGAGACAACATATAAGCCTGGACTGTCTGAATTCAGTAAATATTATTGGATCTTATGCAAAACATGATGAGTCACTCTGTTTATTGAGCTTGGTTGGTTGCCCGAGACCCCCTTTGTCAAAACCCCCCGGTTTCTTCTCATTTGCAATGGGAGACCCATGAACCAGCATGCATTGGATCTCAAAAGGGTGCGATCCTGAGCTTTTGGATGGCATTTCATTCTCTATATGCTGGAACTGATAGTAGGATCCCAAATCATAGCAACATGTTTCCTCTGGTTTTCCCTGGCTGACCAGGGCCTTGGGGTTCAGGAAATCCTCTGCCCTACAATTAGCCCAACCATTATGTTTGACACCTGCTTCCTTTGCAAAATTTACAGACCCCCTGGGCCCCTTAGCAGAATTCAGCACAACAAGTTGTTCTCCTACCCTGCTATTATATAGTCTTGTCTCCCTCTTCCTGTGAGTAAACCCTGTGGAAGTTTACCGCCCGTGGGCTCCACTTCAAGGCAATGCTTGGCTTGAAGAAATAGGGAATGTGTAGTTGATTCAGGGCGAATCATTTTTTCATGAAGCTTGATGAATAGAGCAAAGTAAGCTTGATTGAGCTTTTACATTGAAGTCTACATTTCAAACCTCTCTTTTGTCTTTGATGTGTTGTTTCTTGTGCTGTCTAAGGAAGGCATTGAACTCACAAGATTAGAAATTGTCAGGTGACAATGCAGGTTGGCTTTTCCAACTGGGGCCATTTTTTGCTGGCTTTCAGGTTAGTCTTCTTCTTCTTCCTCTTCCGCCTCCTCAGCTTTCCTCATACTTCTAACAAGATTTTGAACACCCTCAGATATAGGAGAGAGCCAGATGTTCCATATACTCTCCCTCCTTCTAGAGAAGATGTTCTCATTGGAGAAACTGTGTCTGTTTTCTTTCCTGAAATGCCTTCACCCCAGTTTAAGGTGCGTCCAGAAACCTCACCAAGAGGAGTGTAAGTACCTCTTTATTGTTTGAAGTAACTGTACTGGATCTGTCATGGTGTAAAAGCACTCTGCTTATATTATCTGGCTTTAGACTGAGTGCTATTTCACCAACCCATAGGCTTTTTAAAAGTTGTTACTTAAAAGAATCAAAAGAATTGCACAGACTGGCTGGTTGATTCAATTTGGACCAAGAAAGAATGGCACACAAGCAAGTGGCTAAGGGCTCCCAGAGGACTTTCCCTCTTTTCCTCCCATTGTGCACCCCCCATAGTCTTCTTCATGAAGCAGCCCAAACATACTATCCATTGAAAGAGCCTCCCTCTACACCCCCACCCCAGCTCTCTGACCTTGTTTCAATACTGTTTTAAGCAGCCCAGGTTTGTTCCACTGTCTTACACTACCCACAAAAAGCAGTGGAGTCTCCTAAGGGCTAGAGACTTGTCCCCCAAGCTTAATTAAAAACTGGGAAATCCGAGCTGCTAATAGTGTAACAGGGACTAGATGGTATATCTAAAATCTGGACCAACCCATTCAACTAGCCCATATTGTATCTGCAAGTTTACATTGCTTTCCGGATATTTTTCATATGATGGCATAGTCCACATTTCTTCAGAGGGGCACATTCACAGAAAGATGTCTTGGACGGGTGCCGTGGACTCTTACCAACAGAAATTTAGTGTCCCCCAGAACACTTTTAATTAGGTGTGAATTTTCCCAGATGCGATACTGGGTGTTGTTGGTCATTTTGCAGAATGTTTGTGATCAACCACGAGAGTGATCAAAGGAGAGTGAATGGGTTTGAGATCAGTGAAATGACCTAAGGGTTCCTCATGTTTGTTGTGACAAACCAAGTATCTTGTCCAGTTCCACAAGAGGGACAAATGAAACATTCACCCAATAATTCAGATGGAGACAGACGCCCCAATTGGTTTTGCTTGGAAGATCATCAATCAGAATGTTATAGCAGTTCATTTTCTTTCTTTCTCTGATGTCACGATGTAAGACCCTGTGAAACTGTCATTCCAGCATCATCCCTAAAAACTACCAGCACGTCCTGGCCTTTCTGTTTGCCATTCATGAGATCAACAAGGACAACAAGCTGTTGCCAAATACCACACTGGGATCTGCTGTGGCTGGTGATTTTTTCAGTGCATGGAGAGCTTGTAAGGCCACCCTCAAACTGCTTTTCAAATCACGAGGGAATTCGTTGAACTACTACTGTGAGAAGGGAGCAAGTCTCCTGGCCGTCATCGGTGCCTTAACCTCCCCCAGCTCCATCCAGATGGCCAACGTCTTAAGCACCTACAAAGTGCCACAGGTATGTCGTTTCATGTGCTGGCAGAGAGAAAGCCTTCAAGAAGGAGACGACTGGAAATTGTACTTGGAGAGGGGGTTGGTTATGCTTGGATCAGAAAGGGTGCCCCATTTACAAATGGGAGAGAGAGAAAGAGAGAGCTGCTCTTGCCTTGATACTGATCATCAGTTCTCTGTGTGTTTTGACTACAGATTGCACACAGAAAGGGATCTACTAATGACATGGCTATTTAGGCAGGCTTTCCCTCCTGCTGTTCTCGAGATGTCCTTCACATGAGCACTAGAATTCCAGAGTTTAGCTTTTTTTGAAGTAAACTAAAGACATGGCTGTTTAGGCAGGCTTTCCCTCCTGCTGTATTTTTAATATCTGTATTTTTATATCTTGGATTTTTGTATGTTATTGGTTTTATTGTTTTCAAACTGTTATGCCGCCCAGAGTAGACTGTCTAGATGGGTGGGGTATAAGTCTAATAAAATAAATAAAAATAAAAATAAAAAATAGAAAATCAATCATGTGGTTTTCCCACCATCTTCTTTTCAAGCTTCTCTGCAAAAGCCTTTCACATGACCAATCATTCTTTCTGAAATCATACATTTGGTTTTTCATATGTAATCAATCATTTAGTTATTCCACCAGTTTTTTTTCAAGCTTCTCTGCAAATGCCTCTCACATAATCAATCATTCTTCATGAAATTATAGAATTGGGTTTTCACATTGTGGCATACAGGAAACTAATGTATTTGAAGTGAGAGCCTAGGTCCACCCAATTATAGACAATAGCACTGGCCCTCTCTGAGCTTCAGACAAGACGATGCGGGTGTTTAAAAACCATATTGAGATGGTAGGGTGTATATCTTTACTGTCGGGCTGCTAGGACTGTGGGTGTGCACAACAGGTGCTCCTCATAAAGCATAAAGTATTGTGTGTGAGAGAAAAGAGCTTCCCTCTATCCACTTTATCCATCCCCGCCATAATTTTTTACATCTCAATCATGACTACCTACAATAGAATTGGCCTTCTTCATGGCGGCCGCACACTGGGTTGACAGTTTTCTTGAGCTTTCTGTGAAGGTTCATGTACTGTATGTGGGCTCCCTCTTTCTTAAATAAATCGCGAGACTCAGTGTAATCAAACGGATTGGTATTATTTATTAACTCACCCAATCGGGTATTAATATTAACTTGGTCTTTTGTCTGAATCTCTTGTTCAAGCAACAGCTCTGACAAGGGTAACCACAAATTCTCTTCAAAAGGGTTAAGACAAGTAACATTCCAAGGCCTAGTGACCACTGCTCGTTTCCAACTGTCTCAAGTTCGGGTTCAGTCTGGTTTAAAAGCGGGAGGCTCTTTTCATCCCCATCCATCCCTGCAATGGGGTTCCCTCTCCTTCTGAGTCACCCCAAAGTCCAGGAAACACCCCATCTTCCGCAGCTCTTCAAGATGCCATGCCCAGCGTGCCTTGTTCTCTCTGCCGATGGCCTCCTTCTCTTCTCTAAGCTTTCTCCTCCATTCCCAGGTCTCAGACTCACCCCAATAGGAAGGTCTCTGGGGTAGGCCTATTCTTCTAAGGCTCTCTGCTTCAGCCTTGGGCACCCGAACCTGTTCCCATTTCCCTGTATCCCAACAGTCTCCCAACCACTTGGGATATTGTCCCGGGCTGTATTTATGTCCTCTAACCCCCCTTCTGCCAGAGCTCGCCCTTTTTCCTCTTTTCCCGCCATTTTTACCTTATATGGAGTGGCCACACTTAACCCTCTCAACTCTTTCTCTAGGTCTTGGGTATCCACTGCACGCGATATCCCTTTTTCCCTCATGATCTTCTGCTCCAGCTCTCGGATATCTATCCCTTGATCTTTCTTTTAGGGTGGGGTAGGAGGTGGGGTTGTTTGAGTCCCTTTGGATGTCTTAAGGAGAGATGGCTCCACCAGGAAGACCTCTTGTCTCTGGTCTTCCCCTTCACAATGTCCACCAGCACACCAAGGTCTCTTTCATAATCCGTCACGGACAGCTCAGAACCCATTAACTAAAGTTTCATTTTATTTTCCCCAGTGTGCATTACTTTACAAGTTCTTATATTGCAACACATTTGCCATTTTGCTGCCCATTCTCCCAATCTGGAGAGATCCTTCTGGAGGCTCTTCACAATCCCTCCTGATCTTCACTACCCAGAAAAGTTTTCTGTCATCTGCAAACGTGGCCACCAGCACATGAATGATGACCCAATGATTTGATATTTCTAGGACACAAATCATTTTTGTTATTCCCCTCTTGCTCTAGCTTTCCTATGGCTCTTTTGACCCTGTGTTGAGTGACCAAACCCAGTTCCCCTTTTTCTTCCGGATGATTCCGAATGAAGAACCTCAGTATGATGGGATTGTTGAGCTGCTCAAATATT